CTCTCAAATGTTTCGAAGAAAATAATGCTAAAATTGAATTCGTTTGTGACTCGAAGAATAACATCAAGAGAACATTCTCAACAAGAAGAGTGTATCTTTTCTTTATCACTAATTGTATGATTAACTATTCGATTTATTATTTCTTATGAAGCAGTGCCAGCAAGCATACCTGATGGAAAGTAGCACTGATTGTAATATATGAACCAGCAAAGATTGTTAACTGTGAGCATGGACATGACAGTGTACTTTCATGCAATGCTTGTAAATGAATATAATCGGCTTCTGATGGATTGTTTACTTCAATAGTGACCATTCTCCAATTAAAACCTGTATATCCAACCAGTACCATCATGGCAATCGTTAGTAATAATAAATAAATTCGTGTAGAAAGAATTTGATTAGCTCGAACCAACGGCGTATCTTCATATGCTTCGATGTATACATTAAATTTGATAAGACGTGCATAGATTTCTCTTGCAAATGAACGAACTCTATTGATCACTGAAGCTTCTTGATTCATAAGTCGAATATAAATTGCGACGTCAAACTTTCTAAAGTATAAAAGGCGAGACATATTATCAAGAAACTTTTCTAACTGTTTAGAAGTAGAAAACGAACAAAGATGCATTTCATAAATGTGTTTTCTGATAATAGCGGTCTGACTATATGTGAAGAAGCATATATATATCCATAATGAAAAGAGAAAACACATACTTTATAAAATTAACAAAAATGGCTCAAGTATCAAGTAGATACATTTATTTAATAATAATGAGTTTTCACTCTTATTCTCAAAGTCCTTTCTTACGTTGACCCTTACACTTGAAAAACTAATTTTTTCAATGCAATTTATTCGATGCATTATGTAGCACCCAATATTTACTATTTGAAAATGAAATCGAGCTGCTTTTTTCTTCTCAATGTCATAAAAGTATATTGAATAAAAGAGAAAAGTATGAAAGAAAATGAAATCAGCGTCAATCTTTTCTTTAGATTAATTCTATTAATTGTTTTTTTCCAGACACTCCTAATTTACAAAATCTTTTTTTCTCTTTTAAACATAAATAATGAATTCGAGGCATGACGTTTTTACTTCAACAAGTTTACAGCATCTTACCAACAGAGTGAGAACCAATAAGATAATTTCATGTCAAGCGGCAAATAATACATCGGAGAAAAAAGTATTTAACATGAAACATTCAGAAAGAAAAACTTGGTGACAACATTTATTTGAGACTCCCATTTAAACATGAAATAAATTTTTATAAAAACCAAGGAAAAACTTTTATAGTACGGTTATTGTATTGAGAAAAACGGTTTGTTGCTTTTCGTGATAGTTCTCGTTTTTTTGTTTCACTCGATATAAATCCTATGATATATCGTACAAAGCTTCTTATTATCGTATTCACACTAACTATTTCCCCAATTAGGAGAGATATCATTCACCACATCCCCTTTCCTCTCAAAAAAGAGCAGTACTACTTATATTAATAAAAAATTTTCTTTTTTACTTGTGCTTGTTAAAAGTTATCAAGAAATCAAAAAAAACTAATTTAAATTATTGCTCAATTTGGTGCTGGACGTAGCTTCAAAATGAAACAAAATATGATGAAAACACTTTTTAAATACCAACATATTGTTCAATTTCTTCTTACAGAGGGACTTGAGAGATTTTTCCGAACTTATTGAATGTATCCAAAGTACGAGAACGTTTCTATCTTACTCTATGCAACACTTAAGTCTTGTATAAAATTTAGCTAACGATGCCTTAATATCAATAAATTAATAATAAATCGTAAAATTCCAAGAAAAAAAGTTCCAGCACTCCTTCCACTATCCTCATGTGAAGCGATTCCGAACAGGACCTATTTTTTTAGGCGAATGTATTCCAAATATACAGCCATATATTGATATCGACAATAATATCTTTAAATTTTAATAGTCAACGGAAAACATCAAACTCTGCAATGTCTTGAGTGTTTGCGTCTCATTACTTATGCTTAACGTGCAGACTTTGAGCTTTTATTCAGTGAATCTTCATTTTCTGATGAACATTGAAAAAATAAGTTCTTTTCCATAAAATATAGATGCTACTAATATTATTTCGGGACGATAATAATTAATAAGTATGTTTTCATACACTCATTTCCAACATGCATATTTATTGTTTTTCCTGCAGCTTTGCCATAGAATTATTTTGATATAAAATATTTTTTCAAAAAACACTTTTTCTATGAATTTAATACGAATCGTGGATAGTTATGCCATATAGCATAAGTAGCGCTGGCCCGTTTGACTCATATGACCATCGACTACATATTCAGCTTTTCAATATTTTATAGTGCTTTACAGTTTTCAACACAACTAGTACTCAATATTTCCATATAGCGAGTAGGTTTGTGTACGCTGGTATTAGCGTCAATCTCGTTGTGCACAATAGTATGTGAATTTGGATGAACACTTTTGTCACAGATACATCTAATCAAATTCATATCCTTACACTGATACTCAAAAAAAGAGGTTATATTCACTTTGCTGATAGGCGATGAAAAAATACTCATATTCGACACGGGTAGCAATGCGCCATGCACTTTAAAAGGAGGAAGCGTATAAGCAATTCAATCGACCCATTCTATTTCTCGTTTCGAAGATATTGAAAACATATAGAGAAATACCAAAAAATGCACTGAGTATTTTTACCAAAAAAATTAATGAGTTCAATGAACATTTTATGGACCAAATACATAGCATTTCTTAATAGGGGACTAATATAGATATCTTAAATGGCACCGTCTATCATCCCTTAGAAAAAATCTTCCGAAAACTTGAAACGCTCTACAAAAGGGTAGTGTTTCTAGGTCGAGAAAACGTTGACCATCGTATGACTATGGGGACAATATTGTGGGAAATCTCGGAAAATCCCTGCAATCCAAGTTTTCTTCCACTGTACCTGTATAAGATAACTTTCTTGCTTCAAGATGGTTTACATACCATTCGATAGAGCTCAAAAACCCTTTAAAATGTTACGATGCTTTGATGGCTGATAGATGATACTCGGATGGTTTTTTCGGCAGATTCTGTGGAGCCACTAGTGGGCTTTTTTTGTCGATGAGACTCGAAGCAGTATTGAATTTGGTCTACCTAACCGATATGAGAACGACATGTTTATTTATTAAATGTGTACATGAAGAGGTAGACATGGGAAATTCTTTTAAAATTATGTTCATGGGGATAAATTATCCTCGCTGTTGTTGGTTTCTGAGTCATTGAGAGTAGAGGCATTGTCATCGTCAGAGTTGCTATCATTGATCAATCGAGATGCAGAGAGCGGGTGATTATCAGTTGGAATAACAGTCATGTTAACACCTAAGTGCCATAGAAGGGCTGTTACATGAAAGCACATTCCAACTTCTCGTGCACCTACAGGACAAGTGCAATACCATGCATGAATTGGCTGTTGTTTGTGGTGGTCAAATTTTACGGTAGCTGTATGGTTCTTGTTGTTCGAGTGACGTGATTGAAATCCTGCTCGAACTAAGTCATCGTGTTCATTGCAAATTTCAATGATAAATTCCATTTCTTCTCCATTTTTTGGAGACTGTCTGATGTGCTCGATGATGTACGACTCTGCTATCCTAATTTGATAAGAACCTTAACAGACAGAAGGTGCTTAAAATACTAGAAGTGATTAGTTTGATGTTACCAAATGTAAGATCATGAATATTCTTTTCGGTCATTGGTGGAAATTGAAAATTGGAAGTGTTATGCTTTGACTAATATAGTAATGTTGCGCGAGCCTTTCTTGTAATCGATTTTTAGTTGTTCGCATTTCGCGCATCTTGATTGCAATTTCTCTACCGTTCTCGGTATCTTGCACAGTTAGACATTGGTACTTGTTAATAAGTGCACACGTGATGTCTAAATAGTTGCTAAAATACTATAGGGTTGAGTTTTGAATGGTCTGCGCCATGAATTTTCACTGTTTTATTTTCGTATTAACTAAATTATCGAAATATTGATAAAATGATAATATTTATGGACTGCCATTCTACGATAAATTGTATAGTTTAAGTCTTACCACTTTCGATAACCCATCGGTTCTTCGTAATGAATCGAGTTCGATTAGCTTCATCAACAGGAAGCCGCTTTTGGTTGTGTAAAAAACCAGGTATAGCACCTTTAAGACCTAGGCGATTAAGTGCATTAACAGTGTCACGAAACTGTAATATAGCAAACAATTGTCAGCAACCACCTAAGTTCAACGCTTACCCCACGATCTAATACCAGTACATCATCATCGCAAATCCAAGACAACGCTTGTTGTTCATTGTTAAGAATACAGGGCTTCAGAATGGCTGCATCGTTATTTAATGAATCCGTGAAAAATGGTCCAAAGAAACTGATGATATAGCAATCCTAAAAGATAAGAACTGGCTCAGTGAAACACGGATGTCTTTGTTTAAACCAATCAAAGATTGGTTTTTGTAAAAGAACTTTATTCTCACTTCTTAATAAATTCGGCACTGTATCAGATACTTACGCCAACCGTTATAATCATAGGCTTCACAAGATGTTGACGCTTGTGCAGACTATATGTGCGCTGTTGGAACTCACTGTTGGATGATTTTTGACAAAAAAGGAAGTTCCGTCTGCAATAAGAACAATTTGATCTGGACCATTGGCAAGAAGTTCTGTTACCACCGTCGTTTGATGTTGGGCAAAAGTGGCCTCTCTTGATACGAGTTGAAAGTCAACATGATAGGGTACGAAATCCTGCATGAGGGCTACTCGTACTTGATGACAGATATGAGAGACACTTCTTTTGGATGCTAATCGAAATAGGCAAGCAAGAACTCAATTGCTAAGCCCGCTGCTTATTTTTGCAAGAAATATTGCCAACGCCATTCGAACAGAGCGAAGACGAAAATTGCGCATAGTACTTAACTTATCCAGCAAACCATTAAAATGATCTGAAGTTCAAAATAGACAAACTGAGAAACTTAATGAGAAAAATTAGATAACGTACCTCGATCAGGTCCAGGAATTGTTTTATAAGTTTCATTGTCAAGAGCTCCAAGATCATCGAAATCAAGTGATCCAGCATGCTTGAGAGGCAAACGAAAATCATCAATCAGTTTCTCTACATCTTGTTTATTCA